CTCTCTTTATCCCCAATCTGATGTGACTTTTCTGGAAGGCGCCCCAGATACGGGGAGGCCGTCCACACGCGAGTTTGGAAGCGGAGTAACCGAGTGTTCCAGGGTGCCGCGGGCCCGCAGGCCAGGCAGAGACCGGCCACGGGATCCTGCAGGATTGCTACGTCCTCTGGAAGTCAGACAGCCCCGAGGAGCTTCTGTTCTCTTCTCTGTTCGGATAGCTTTTCCTGCAGCGGTGAGGAGGCCCCTCTCCCTGTACACGGCCCCCTGGACAGGCCCAAGAGCAAAGGCGTGGCGGGCGTCCGTGTGGACGCTGACCCGCTGGCCTTCACTGCGGAGTGCAGCCCGCTGTGCTGACCGTCCGGCTGCGAATGCCTTCGCCTCTAGGACGTCAGTCGTTGTGGTCACTGCACAGCCCGCTTCTCGGGCACCTTGTTGTGGGCAACTGCCGCCGTCGCTGAACTGCGTGAGCTCTGGCTTCTTCACGGCTCGATCCCATGATCTGGACGCTCGGGTAGACTTCATCAGTTACTCGAAGCAGTTGTGCTCTGGTCCCCCCCCTCTTCCGTGGGGAGAAAGGTTGCTGGGTTTAATGTCCTCACTGACTCAAGGGTGACCCGTGGGTTCTCGCGGAGGAGCCCTTGGTACTGTGCAGGCCGAGAGCTGGGCAGGAAGCGGTGCCCCTGTGTTCGTGAGGGTCCAACTGCAGGAGGGAGGTTGAGGTTACGTTCTTGTCCCAGGCGAGCTTGTCTGCCTCCCGAGTAGGCCTGTGGCTGCTAGCGCCCTGCGGCTCGGGGGCCATGGTGCCGCCGTGGGGTCCAGTCGGTTTCACAGATACGTAGCTGGCCGGTGTCAGGGCCCAGCAGTCCGTGTCAGTACTCACGCGATGCTTTATCATGTACAAAGAGATTGGAGGGTTTTTCTATGTTTGGGAGACCCAGGGCAGCCTTCATCTTTGTGAGGGTAGCTTCTGCTTTCTCAGTCCGGGCAGGGGGTTCTCGATTTAGTCCCCTTAAGAGATTATAGAAGGCTCCTGCTATTGCTGAGAACCCCGGAATCCAGATGCGGCACAATCCTGTAGCCCCTCAGGAATTCTCGTAGGCCCCTTTTCGTCCAGGGCTGTGGCAAGGGGATGATGACTTTTTTCTCTCTTGACCTAGGTTTCCGCCCCCCTTGGGTAAGGAGGAAACCAAGATAATGGACCTGTTGTTGGTAGATTTGTGTCTTCTTCCATGAGGCTCAGTATCCCGAGTCTGACAGGAGTTCTCAGGGGGCCTTTGCACCTTTTGTGCTGTCTTCTTGTGTGTCACTGGCAAGGAGGAGGTTGTCCACATCCTGGAGGAAGTGCATGGATTTGGGGCCACTGGGTGCAGGGAGACGGCTACCTTGTTCATGGCCCGCAGGTCTTGGGCTGGTCGATGTCCCCTCCTGCCTTCATAACTGGCATAACGGGGGTATTCCTGGTCGACTGGCACTCGATCAGGGTACCTGCTCCTTTAAGTCTGGCCAGATGTTCTCGAATGCCAATCTTAGCTTTTTGTCAGAGGGGTATTGCCTTTGCCTCTGGGGTAGGGCTCCTGGGATCAGTTAGCAATGACAGGGGCCGATTCTGGGCTAGTCCAGGTGGGTTGTTTTTAGCCCATACTGTAGGTGAACCTGAACTCATGCAGCCACTTGGCTGGGCCTGGGCGTGGAATAGCCTCCGTTTTTTCTTGGTGCGGTGATCGCTAGTACCAGAGACCCCGTCTCCTTGTGCCCTGGGTTTAATCGGAGGCTGGTATGCCCAGTGGGCTCAAACTTTATCCGAGCCCCAAGCCTGCAGAGTATATCTCAGCCCAGGAGGAGGGTGGGGCAGTCAGGTAGATAAAGGAATTCAGGTCGGACCTTGTGGCCCCCGAATTTACACTAGTGAGCCTGGCCCACCACGTCCCAGTGGCCCCAATGATAGTTGCAGTCCTTTTGCTGAAAGGCGCCACTGGGGAGGTGACAACAGAGTGCTCAGCCCCAGTATGAACCGTGAAAGTCACTGGTTGCCCCCTATTTTTATTTTGACCGTGGGCTCACGGGGGCCGAGAAGGGGGAGGCTCAGTTCCCCTCAGTCTTCCCCAAGGCCTCTAAGGTCCCCTTGTCTTTACCAGAAGCACATCGATCCCTGGCCAAGGAGGGGGGGTGGTCTGGCTTTTCCCCCTTTCAGTGGTTGGGGCCTCTCCACCTTACAGACCTGCCAGCGGGGCCACTCTGAAATCCCCTTTCCCAGAATGAACAGGTGGGCTCATGTGTCCAGCTGAGGGGGTCGGTGGTGGAGAATGGTTGATGATACATCATGGAATGGTCGGGCTGGACTGTCCTGTCTTTACTGTGCCTCTCAGGGTCTCGCTTCTCTTGTACCAGCATTTGGAGGGTGCTTGGCCCGGCTTGGGGTGCAGCCTGGCTGCTAGTCCCAGAAAAAGTGGACCCTCTGGGCCTGGGGCGTAGGGAGACCAATGGCAATGGAGTGTCTGGAACTGGAGGGGGCCACGTGTAGAAAGCCTTCGGGGTGCGTACGGACGGGGCAGGACCAGTTTAGCCTGGGATCTCCGGCTAGGATCTGTGGAGGCGGGGACCTCTGTCAGTCTCTCTGGGCCGCTTGGATGAGGCCATTAAGACCCTGGCCTGTCCCTGCCTGTTGCAAGCAGATCGCACCCAGTGGGGAGGGTCTGGGCAATTCCTAGCCAGGAGTCAGTGTGCACAAACTGTTCGGGGTGTCCTGGTTCTCCTGTCACAACCTGTAACACCCGACGAACCGTTGGGACATCCAGTGTCCCTTCTGAAGGCCAGCTGACATTCAAGGTGGCCCTTCTAACTCACATGGGGCTCTCAATTTGCCGGGATGCATCTTAACTGCATAGGCTTCTGCAAACCCCTTCCTGAAATGTTGACCATACAGTCTAGTACCCTAGGTTTCTCTGCCCTGATCCCATCGTAATGTCCTGGTATGTGGTGGCACAGAGACAGAGGGTGGCTGCCCCTGCTGTGAGGACAGACCGGTCAGATGCCCGCCTGTCCGCCCTCCTTGGGGGCCTCTTGGCCATAGCGATTCCGTATAAACTGCAGACTGGCACCCCAAAGGGCTCGCCATAAACCCTATGAGGTCACCAGGGAAACAGGTCGGGGCCCACTCAGACTCCGTAGTCTCAAGACCGTGGAGCCACAGAATCAACCCCTCTGACAAGCCGGGTCAAACTGCACGTTCCCTCACGCAGTCACACCGAAGTTATTACAGTCCCCACCCCGCCCCACTGCCCCCGGGAGGCCCTGACCTGTGGAATTCCTTTCAGAAGTTCCTTTCTGTCCTCCCTTTCAGGGGTTTCTGACCTGAGGGACCTCCCTCCCTGGGAAGTCCTGCCTGTGAGACCTTGGAGGTCTCCTGGAGGTGATCGGTCTCCCCTCCCACCCGGATGGATGGGTCTGACCGGTCCTAGGGTCAGGTCCTCCAGGTCCTCCCCTGCCAAGTCTCCTTGAGTCCACTGGAAACAGTGGATCGGGGCCTGTCTGAGGCGACCAGGTGGGAGACGGCGGAAGATGAGACAGGCCGTGCCTTTTCCGTTACAACCCCTCGTTCCATCATCGTCACTGCCCCCAAACCAGTGGCAACAATGGGCCAGTGTGGTTGGATTTCCCGGTCAGGGAGCCAAATGTCATGGAACGCGGACTGGATCCGGGCCAAAAAACCGGAGTGGCCTCGGAGACCTTGGAAGACCGGAGGTTTATTTCACGCTAGCGGGCCCAGAAGAGAGTAATCCCTCACGGTCTGAGCCCCGAGCACCGGCAAGGGGGGTATCGTGTACATTCTTACTTCTATCTCTGCCACTCCTGTGGCTGCAGCCAGCAAGGCAGGGGAAAGTCTGCAGTGGCCCTGGGGCCGGGACTGGGATTCCCCTGCTGGATCGGTCGGCCACCTCAGAACACAGATTTTCCTTATCAGAGCAAGGTCAAGAAGAATCCATTTCTAGAACCAGACCCGTGCTAGATGCGTTCACACTGTATGTACTGTTTGTTCTGAACTTGCTTTAGGATTTTACAGAGGAGAGGAGGGGGACGTGATTGAACTTGTTCGGGTCATGAAGCTTGTCTGGTTCCTGTCTCTGGGCTTCTTTCCTTCACTTGCACAGCGATGGCCTTTGGACCAGGTCAAGGCTCAGCATATGTTTTCCTAAAGGGCCAGCGAGTAAATACACTTGGCTGTGTGTGTCTTCAAGCCCCTGTTGCAGCTACTCAGCTGTGCTGTTGTCACACGGAAGCGACCAGGGACCGTATATCAAGGAAGGAGTGTGGCTGTGTTCCAGGGAAGGTTTATTTATGGGCATAGAAATTTGAATTTCTTATAATTTTCATGCATCACAAAATATTATTATGTTGGGGTTTTTTTTCCCATCCGTTTAGAGATTAAAAATCAGTCTTAGCGGCAAGCCATACCAAAAAAAAAAAAGAGAGGCAGGGAGTAGTTGGCCAACCCCTGGTCTAGATAATCTTTGGGTTCTTGGGGCTCTCAAACATTCTCCAGAAGTTGCTACGACAATAGTAATACCCTTGACTTATTAAGCTCTTGCACGTGCCCAATTCTGTGCTAAATGCTTTACAAGTGTTATCTCCCTTAATCCTCATTCTACAGTGTGAAGTAAGTACTGTCATTACCCCTGCTTCAGAGATTACACCAAACTAATACATGGAGGAATTAAGAGTATATTTCCGTTGAACGTAACTAGTAAGAGACAGGGCAGCAATCGAAACCCAGGTGTACGAGGTTCCCAAGAATGAAGGCGGAAGCCTTCTGCTGCCTTTCCTGATAATACCGTAATCAGAGCCTTAGTGGTACATAGAGTTAGAAAGAATCCTTAGGATTTATCAGTGAATTTTCTTTTGTAGCTGCCCACGAAGCTCTTTCTGTCCCACGTTGTGTGTGAACAGTTAAAGTGGTTCTGGATAGGAATGACCACTTTCTTTCCTTTCCCTCCCTCTTCCAGAAATGTGATGCCTAAGACTCTGGACGGGCAGGTAACCATGGAGAAGACACCAAGTTACTTTGTGACCAACGAGGCCCCCAAGCGCATCCACGCCATGGCCAAGGACATCAAACTGATTGTGGTGGTGAGGAACCCCGTGACCAGGGCCATCTCGGACTACACCCAGACGCTGTCAAAGAAACCCGAGATCCCCACCTTCGAGGTGCTGGCCTTCAAAAACCGGACCCTAGGGCTGATCGACGCCTCTTGGAGTGCCATTCGGATAGGGATCTACGCTCTGCACCTGGAAAACTGGCTCCAGTATTTCCCTCTCTCCCAAATCCTCTTTGTCAGCGGAGAGCGACTCATAGTGGACCCTGCCGGGGAGATGGCCAAAGTCCAGGATTTTCTAGGCCTCAAGCGTGTCGTGACTGAAAAACATTTCTATTTCAACAAAACCAAGGGGTTCCCTTGTCTAAAGAAGCCAGAGGACAGCAGTGCCCCAAGATGCTTAGGCAAGAGCAAAGGTCGGACTCATCCGCGCATCGACCCCGATGTGATCCACAGACTGCAGAAATTCTACAAACCCTTCAACATGATGTTTTACCAAATGACTGGTCAAGATTTCCAGTGGGAACGGGAAGAGGGTGACAAATGAGGTTAGAGAAGCAGAGGGAAGGCTAGCGAGTAGTCAAGGAGGCTTCTTCCCTGAGTCCTGAAATCCCCCCACTGGGGTCTGTAGCCTCAGCCTCACTGGAGTGCCAAGTAGATCCCCACCCCCTTTGGCCACCCGGGATCACTTCCAATGCTATAGGCTTAGGCAAAAGGATGGATCCCATGGCATCCTTGTGGAGGCACTAGGGTAGCGGCATCTTGGTTGACCAGATGGCCACCAGGAGCCATGGTTAATTCCTGTCTTCTGCTAATTCTGAGGACAGGTTAAGTAGCCGTCAAGGTCAGAGACCATGCCAGCAATGTTTCTTTAAATGATTAAAAAAAAAGAGGAAGGAAGGTCTACTTTGGCCACTGTAGGAGCCCAAGTCCTAGCCCTGCCTTTGGCACAGCCCTCTTCTGTACAAACCTTCGCTTTGGCCTCTCTCTAGAATGCTACTTGTGGCTGAGTGCTCCAGGACTCCTAGGGAGCAAGGTCCTTTTTCTCTGAGGTGTCTCTAGCCTCCTCCTTCAAGGTCTCATCCCACAACACTTTGATGTCCCTCCTCCTCCCCTTACGAAGGCAGAGGCATGCACGGTCCTCACCAGAAAACAAAACAAAAAACACAAAGATAAAAGCTGACACCCTTAGAAGCCTTCTTTCCAAGAGCCCTCCAAGGAGGGTCCTGGGCTATGGTGAAGCTTGGCATAGGCCCTCATGATAGAATCAGGCCTACGTGCCTGTCCTCGGGGCCACGTGATTGCCTTTGAGTTCTGAGCCCTGTGGTTGGTAGAGATAAATGTTATTTCTGGGGGTGAAAATGAAGGCCAGATCTTTCGATGGAAGGTCTCCATCTGTGACGACCCTCAACACCACAGCTCCGAGGAAGGCTCTTGGGGTGGGCTCTGTCCCTTGTGGTCCTGAGAGGCGCAAGGACCAGAGAGTTGGCATGTCTTCTGTTATGGGTAATCCTGAGTAACACAACCAACAGGGGATCTTGTTTGTCCCTCCGTGTCCCCCTCATGGTCATCTGATGCTTCCCTTACTCTCTTCAGAGATGGCACAATGGGGCAGTGACAGAGTGTCGACCCCATCCCTGGCCGGTCTTCACATCCAGCCTGCGGGGGAGGGCAAGGGCTGTCTGTGGACACCCCCATTAAGGGCTGCTGAACCAAGTGTCCCTTCCCATTACTTTGATTTGATTAAAAGGCTGCCTTTGACACCAAGCGCTTGTTCACAGATCTCCAAAACCAGGAACTGTTCTAGTAAATTTGGAAATATGTATGAGTGGGGGGAGCTAAGTCTGTTCACCTGTGATTAAACTCATTTCTCCCGCTAAATGAAAACTGTGTTGTTATAAAGCTTAATGCAAACCTGACTGATGGGCTTTGATGGTGTGTTTGTATTGGTCACCTCCGACCCACCCTCACATTCTGGGATGATTCCTTCTCCTCCCCGGGTGGCCAGAAAGCCCCAGATTAGAGAATCTTCCAGGGGATTCTATCTGCACGGCCAGATAAGTCTCCAAACAGCACAAAGGAAGTGACTCTAAGGAGTGCAGCTTTCTCTTAACTAATCCCAGCAAGCGGCATCGGGTACACTAGACTCAGAAACAACCTTCCAGATAATTTTTTTGTCAGTTAAGAAAGTGGTCTTTGAACCGAAGACAACAAATATGCCTTCACCACCAAAGCAAAAGAAGACACAGATACACACACAGGCACACGAGAACCCATCTCTTTGAAGAAAGACAGGGCATGCTGGTTCAGAACAGATTTCCGTGGGCTGATGTGGGCCTTGTTGTATGAGCAAAGGGTGGGCCTCCTTCCCCTCAGGGGAAGCTGTGGGGTTTCTCAGGCTACAGCTTCCGGACCATCACTCCTGACCACACTTCTTGTGGAATCAAGAGCTCCGGGACGGAGCTGAGGCACCTGTCCTTTCAAAAATATTCTTACGGGAGCTGGGATTGAGAACAGCTAGAAGCAGGTCTTGTTGTTTCTTTCTTTGCCCTGGCATTCTCGGTCTTGCCCTCCTTGTGTGCCTTTGTGGAGATTACTCCCAAGAGAAGTGGCCCCCAGAGTGTCACGGCTTCCTGGGACAAACATGGTCTCTTTTTTGGGGGGGTCAGAGTTCAGTGGGAACTAGGTAAGGGGTGATCTCACAACATAGACAGTCAAAGAAGCATCTGGCTCTAAGAAGGCTTTAAAGATATTTTTCCACCGATTAAGAAGGACCATTACACCAGCCTAGCCTTACCCTCATCTCTTCTAACCCAGGTGTACGCACAGTGACTCAGCCCCTCAATTACACTCACTTTGTGCTTTCCATCTCCCTGGCTGTCTCCATCCCCATAAACCCAGAACATCAACACCTTAAGTGCTGTTTAAAAAGAAGCCTAGTAATTACAGGTCTTCAAGTAAATATGAGAAGCATATCCATTTTTAACAGGGTGAGCTGACTTAATAGGCCATGCTCCCCTGGAAAATAAAACGGGGAACCCCCCCCCCCGCTCCCCTTAAAGTATATAAAATCTCTCATCTAGCAGCAGGCTTAAATTCTCCAGAGAAATCCGGTAGAGGCCGAAGCCTTGAGAGCTTGACGGCTTTTATCTTAAGGGTCTGTATGGCTATATGGTTGAGAGCTCATGGTTTGGAAAAGAAATGCAAACTTTTGACATGCTTAAGGTCTATTTCCTGCAGTGTCTACTCTGGCTTGATCCTTGTGGCTCAGAGTGAGCCGGTAAACCATGTCCCCTTCAGTGGGTGAACTTGACAAAGGAATTCTTTCCTATCCAGAAAAGCTAAGTCAACCCGCTAAAAGAGAGTCAGGTTAATAATACCTCCGCCCTATTTAAATGTGAGCATTGCAGCTCACAGGAGATTGAGTTTTGTATTTGATTTCAATTAGCAAAGCATAAATTATATTTAATTTTCTATTTCCCTCTTTTCCCTCGAATGGATGATTCACAGCTCTGGAAAGGCTGCTGCGTGTGGTTCAGAGATGAGAAAAGGAGAATTCATTCCTCCCAATAGTGCAGCTGTCAGTGCTCCCATATTCATCGCTTCTGGCCAGTATTATTCTGCACCCGAAATGTATGAAAGCCTTGGCCTCGCCACTTAGACCTACTAGCTCAGAGCACAACAGCAATAATAGCAGAAGCACGCGGTAGCCTCGTTTATCTTCCTTTCGATGGTATATGAAAACCATGACTTCAGTTTCATCCCATTTCTTACCTTTACTGTGCCTTCCCGTCTGACCGCCCTCGGCCCCGTTATTCCCTAAAGAAAATTTCTGCCTCACTGCTGTCAGAGAGGTGGCTGGGGTCTATCCTTGTCTCTCTGTGTGTCTTGGACAAGTGTCATTGGCTGTCTAAACCTTAGTTTTCCTATCTCTAAAATGGATATACTTAGTCCCTACCCCACTGACCACTCAGAGTTTCTTTGATGATCAAAATGAATGGGTGGATGGAGGGTATTTGAAAAGAATGAAGGCGGGGGGGCGCCTGGGTGGCTCAGTGGGTTAAGCCTCTGCCTTCGGCTCAGGTCATGATCTCAGGGTCCTGGGATCGAGTCCTGCATCGGGCTCCTTGCTGTGTGGGGAGCTGCTTCTCCCTCTGCTCCTCCCCCTGCTGTGTTTTCTCTCTCTTTCTCTCTCACAAAAAAGCCTTGAAAAAAGAGAATGAGGCAGCAGTGATGTTCCTGGAAGCTCAAGCCAGAAGAAAAGAGCTCCATAGCACAGGACTGGCAGGATTTCGGACATACAGAGGCAAACCTACACCTGCTGGTCAGGACCCTCCCCTAACCCCATACACAGACAAGTTCTCCTCACGGTGGCCTTTCCCTTGCTCCACACTCAAGGTTCTTTTAGATGCAACAAGGTCCACCAGATCCTCTTGAGATGAAAGTGGGAGTGACGTTTTCAAGCCTCTGGGCTATGAACGCTGTCCCCAGCGCTCTGTCTCCCGTAAGTTTACATGGAACACAAAGAAGGTGGAAAACTGGGGCAGGTGCCTGTTCTCAAATGTTTCTGGAAATAAAGTTGGGTTGGGGGGGATCTCCTCAGGCTTTCGTGTAACAAACTGGCGTGAGGAGAGATGAGTTCATAGGATCAGCTTGTCCCGCAGGTGAGGAAGTATCATTGACAAACATGAGCTACATGAACTCACTTTTTTGAATTGTGAAAATACCCTATGTGACAAGGTAATCAAAGGATGTCATCAGTCATCCGGCAGGAAGTAAAGGCCGAGGAAGTACACGAGATGTGGGCCCACTGATGGCTGGTGGACCAGACTCTCCAGCGTCCCTGGGTACAGGGATGGATATAGCACTGCTCTAGAGTTAATCGTGTTTCATTCTGACTTTTATTCCACAAATAAATGCATAGACAACCAACTGGCAACTGAAAGAGAAGAGAGAGAGAGAAGCTGCCTTGACAGGGTTCCCAGCCTGGTGGGGAAGATGGTCACGAGAAATGCATACAGAGAACATTTCCACTGTTACGAGAGAGGATGCTCGGGGTGCTATGGAAGCATGACACTGGGGCAGGGGTAACTGACCGAGGGAAAAGAAGAACCGCTATATGCTAAAGGCATTAAAGACCACATGGGTAGCCTTTTCCCTCATCCCAAATCATAAGATTATTCTTATGCTCCAGATTTATGCTAAAGCACAAAGAGCTAGGCACTAACAAAAGATAAAAAATACAAGATTGTATTAAGAAGGTTGTTAGGGATTTGGTGGGGGTGGGGGGGATGGAGTGTATCTGAAGGACTTTGCTATCAAGGCTCATCTTTTCCCAGAAGGCAGGCTGACCACAGCCAAGCTACTTAATAAGGAACATAAATTCTTCCAGACACAGCCCTTGCTCCCACCTATGTCTCCCTTAGCATTGTCTCAGACCAAGTTCAAAGGATGACCTTCCCTTAGCTGTCAGCTATTTGTTGATTCACAGATCAAGAAGGGATCACCAAACCAATAGAAATCCCACTTTTCTGAAAATTTGCTGAAGTCGGTAATAGTTCATATGAAAACACACACGTACACTCACATATCTTAGATCGGCACAGATGATGACGTCGACTTGTCATCTAGGTCAGGGGTAATCAACAAATCTTATCCCCGT